CTGCCCCCACGCACCCCCCTCCCCTCCCTCCCCTTTGCCCAATCAAAGTTCCTCCATTTTTCCCATGCTTCCTCTCTCCACATCACGGATCACACCCACTTATCAGAGAGAACATTCAGCCTTTGGTTTTTTGGGGATTGGCTTACTTCGCTTAGCATGATATTCTCCAATTCCATAGATTTACCTGCAAATGCCATTAACTTTATTCTTTTAATGCTTAGTAATATTCCAATGTGTGTGTGTGTGTGTGTGTGTGTGTGTGTGTGTATATGTATAAGTTTGCTTCCAAAGTTTAGCTATTGTGAATTTAGCTGCTATGAACATTGATATGGCTGCATTACTGGAGTATGTTCTTATTCTTAAGTTGAACTACAGTGTCCACCTCCTACTGACTTCTGTTCATCCTCCGTGGTAGGTATTCACATAATACTTATGCAAAATGATATTAAAACACAACTGTATTGTTATTTGATTTGTGCTTTTACATATCTATTTTTCCTCCAGACTCTAAATGTCTAATAAACTTTTACCTATGCACTGTTCAATGTTAATCAAATGAATGATTGAATGTTTCATTCTCTATTATATGGAGAGAGCAAAAATTAAGTTTGAGGACAGATTGGAGACAAGATTGTAGAGCCCAGTTGGACAGGATAGTTGCAAAGTACTTGCAAGGTTTTTTTTTTTTTCCATTAATAAAAAACATTTTATTGGGCCAGGCACCATGGTGCACACTTGTAATCCCAGTGGTTTGGGAGACTGAGGCTTGCGGATCATGAGTTCAAAGCCAGCCTCAGCAAAAGCGAAGTGCTAAGCAATTCAGTAAGACCTTGTCTCTAAATAAAATATACAAATTGGTCTGGGGATGTGGCTCATGGTCAAGTGCCCCTGAGTTCAATCCCCAGTGTTCCCCAAAATAAAATAAAAAAAACATTTTATTGAATATCATTAACCATTATACACTTTCCATAACTCCTGAGTTAATGGTAACAGCATCAACAAGAAAAACTGGATACTAATAGCAAAACATATTCTGATCACATGACCAGATGTTTGGATTCCTCTGATATTTTACTCCGTCTAAATTGGTTTAGCTTAGTGTTAGGCAGAGTTTAAACCATAGCTACAATATTTTAAAATGGCTAAATGTTTAAATATTTTTAACTTTTTAGGCCTTCTTTCTAAATTTTTTTCACTATTGTTTTTCTATTGTGAATAAAGCTATATATTTGTAGGGTACACATGATTTTTTTGAATCATGCATACATTAGAGAATGAATAATCAAGCTAATGAGCATATCTATTACCTCACACCATTTTTTGTGGTAAAAACATTTAAAATTCACTTTCTGCATTTGCAAGTATACAATACATTGATATTGACAGTTGTACCATAGATACTAAACGGATCCCTCCTGCATTACTGAAACACTGTATCCTTTAACCAGCATCTGCCCAAACACCCTACCACCTCGCCACCTCCTCCCTAGGAGCATTATGCTACCCTCAACTTCTGTGTGCTCCACAGTTTTAGATTCCACAGATAAGGGACATCTGGCCATGTCTTTCATACTTGGCTTATTTCATTCAACATGAATGTCTTTTGGACTCATCCATCTTACAAGAGACCAGATTTCTTTCTCTTCTAAGGCAGGGTAGAATTTCTCTGTGTTTATATTTTACATATCACATTTTCTTTATCCATTCACCTCTTGATAGTTAATTCCATATCTTTACTATTATGAATAATGTGTCAATGAACATGGAAGTATAGTGATATTTTTGTCATACCCATATCATACCCTTTGAGTCTCCCAAAGCAAAATTGCTGTTTCATCTATATGGTAGTAGTATTTTTTAACTTATTCAGAAAACTCCATGTTTTTTTTTTGGGGGGGGAGGGTGGTCATGGAGGGGGTACCAGAGACACTCAACCACTGAGTGACATCCTCAGCCCTTTTTTGTATTTTATTTAGAGACAGGGTCTCTTGAGTTGCTTAGTGCCTCAGTTTTGCTGAGGCTGGCTTTGAACTCCAAATCTTCTAGCCTCAGCCTCCCGAGCTGCAGGGATTACAGGTGTGTGCTCTCCCACCCAGCTCCATGTTGTTTTTCATAATAAATGTTCTAATTTATATTTCTACCACTTGGGCAAAAGGATTTACTTTTTTTATACGTGATTGCCAACACTTATCCCAGACATCCTAAAGGAGGTGAAGTGATATCTAACTGATCGTAACTGACATTACTGATATCCTGACATTTAATGATATGAAGCAGTATTTTGTGTACCTGCCAGCCATTTATATATCTTGGTCTGAGATTTGTCTTTTCAGGTTATGGGCCCATTTTTAAATTTTTCTTGTTTGTTTTCTTGCTGTCTGGTGAGTTCTTTATATGTTTTAATTATGAACCCTTATTCTATGTAGGATTCACCATGATTATTTTCCCTTTCCGTCGGTTTTCTATTTACTCTTCTTTCCTTTTCTGTGCAGAAGTTCTTGGGATGGATGCAGTCTCACTTGTCTGTATTGACTTCTGGGTTTTTGTATTGTCTGTGTTTTGGGGTGTCATATACAAAAATTCTTTGTCTGGACCAGCATTGAGAAGCTTTCCCTGTGGTTTCTCCTAGAAGTTGTACAGTCCCAGGTCCTACGCTTAAGCCTTCAATCCACTTGGAGTTGAAGTTTGCCTTGTCTTTAGAGTCAGATAAGGATCCAGTCGATTTTCTCTACAGGTGGATGCCCTGTCTTCCCGGCAACATTTAAGAGACTATTCTATTCCCATTGTGCCTTCTTGGCACCTTTGTGAAGATCAGTGGCCAAAAATGCTTGGATTTATTGTTTAGGCTCTCCCTTCTTCTCCGTCCACTGATTGCCAGGTGACTCAGCTCATCTGGCTGGTGGGCTTCTTCCTTTCTCACTGCCCTATGTCCTCCCTGAAGTTCTGTGCTCCATCAAAAAGCCCAGCCTTCCCTGATAGAGGACCATTTTTCCTTGAGCGTGAGAGCTGCGCTCACTGGCCACCACCTCTAAACAAGTTCTTGAGGTCCACTTCTAAATCTTCTAATGTTTTCCTTAGTAATTTCAAATATCAAAACACCTTTCCTTGATCTAACCCATGTAAGTACATTCTACTGATGTCTTCCTTGGACATAGAAAAGTTAGACATTCTATGCCCCATCTCTGCTTTACCAATTTGATTTTTTTAATCTCTGTTTTTATTCATGACAGTGTGTTTTAACCAGTTTTTATTTGCTGTGACCCAACGACCTGACAGAGGAGGGAAAGTCTGCTTTGGTTCATGGTTTCAGAGGTTCAGGTTCAGACAACGCCATGGCTCTGGGTCCACTGCGAAGTAGAACGTCATGGTTGGAGGGCCTGGTGGAGAAAGCAGCTCCGACAAGACGACAAAGAAGCAGAGACAGCCACACTTAGTAGGAAAAATACAAGTCCCCAAACATGACCCCAGTGAGCTGCCCACCTCCTCCAGATGGTCTGACAACCAAATCTGCAGTCCTTAACTCTCTGTAAACTTCTTACTTTTATACTTTTATATATAATCATTCCAGTCATTCTGTTCTATGATTCTAATTTTTTAAAAAAAGTTATTTTAGTTGTAGTTGAACACAATACCTTTGTTTTCTTTATTTCTTTAATGTGGTGCTGAGGATGGAACCCAGTGCCTTGCACATGCTAGGCAAGTGCTCTACCAATGAGCCACAATCCCAGCCCCTGATTCTAATTTTTTTTAAAATCAGTAATGCACTTCTCATTATTAAGAAAACATTATTTAGTATGAAGATATTACTGTATTGAGGAAGAAAAGAAGGAAATAAAACTTTGCCACCAATATGTAAGCCTGAAATGAAGACTTCCAATGGTTTATGTTAAATAGATTCTCTTTTTATATATTTTTTGTCTTTCTTTATTTTTCTATGAAATTTTTTTCAGAAGTAATTGTTTTTTTTTTTTAGATAAAATTCTGGGTGTTTCTTTTTCTGCATTTTTAATTAATTAATTAATTAATTATTTTTTCCTTGAGTACACTTGAATAATTCCTTCACAAACTTTTGTGGACTTTAAACTTGTTGCACTGTTCAATGACTGGAAATGGATCTACTTAATTTTACATGTATTTTATTTTATTGAAAGATTTCCTGGAGATGGAATTCAAGTTAAAATGATGGAAGCATTGCTCTGATGTCTAAACTATTGTTTCAATTGTCATTCTGTTTGTACTTGATGCTGCTACGGTTGCTTTAAAAAAGAGGATTTCCACTTTCTTCCTGAATTCAGGAATGACAGTCATCAAGTTCTGGATGTTCACAGGTACTTTTTCTTTTTTCACGTTGTTCCTCTTGTTCTAAAGCTCGGTGTCTTTTTTTTACTTATGATTATTCTTTCATCTGTGATGATGATGATGACAATGACAATAAGGACAATCAATTTGGTGCTTTGGATTAAACACACCTAGGGCCTGGCATGGGTGAGGCATGGGTTCTACCAATGTGGTACGTCCCCCAGCCCAGATGAATTTTATACTTAGATTCCCCAATAAATGCACAATGAACATTCTAGAAATATATTTGCTATCTCACCTACTTGGTCTACTTTTTATAATTTAGCCAATTTATCAAATTTTACTTGCAATCTAAAGTTTTAATGAAGTTTATTTTTTTTGGAATAATTATATATTTAAAGAAAACTCGAAGGGTAGTAAAGGGAGTACCTGGGCAACTCTCACTATTTTCCCCCTCATTGTTAACTTGTCAGAACTTACAAACTGATATAAGTTGTGTTGGTCAGAATTCTGTCACTGTGACGAAATACCTGATAGAGTCAAAATAAAAGAAGAAAAGATTTATAGTGCCTCATGGTTTCAGAGGTGTCAGTTGAAGATCATTTGGCTCTGTTGCTTGGATCTGTGGTGTCACACAACATCACAATAGGAGTGTGTGACACAAGAGCTCCACTGATCTCACAATGACTAGGGGCCAAGAACAAGGAAGAGGATATGCCAGGGTTTCAATTCCCTCCCAGGTTCACTCTCATGACCTAACTTCCTAACACGAGGCCTTGCCTTCTGAAAGTTTCATAACCTCCCAATATTGCCACAGGCTGGGGACAAGCTCTTAGCACAAAGACAGCATGGGTATGTTATTGCTAGAAAAAAAATTTAGAATTTATTTGCATTCCACTAATTTTAAAATTAAAATCTTTTTTTCTCTTTCAGAATCGATTCCAGGACACTCTACTGCATATAGGTATTCAATATGTCTGTGACAGTTATTAAGTCTTTTGGGAGTACTGGGGATTAAATCTAGGGGTGCTTAAACACTGAGCAACATCCCTAGTTCTTTTGATTGTTTTATTTTGAGACAGGGTCTCTCTCATTAAGTTGCTCAGGGTAGCATTAAGTTGCTGAGGCTGGCTTTGAACTTGCAATGTTCCTGCCTCCGCTGCTCAAGCTGCTGTGGTTACAGGTGTGTCCACCACATCTGGCTCAGTCTCGGTCATCCTGAAGAGTCCTGGCCAGATATCTTGAGAATGTCCGACAAACTGAGTTTGTCTGATGTCATTCTTATCATTGGGCTGTGGTTATGAATTTTAGAAAAAGAATGTAAACAGAGTGTACTTTTCACATTTTATCTATGTGACATCAGTGGGTAGTTCAGGTCTGGTATGCTAGATTTCTCCACTTTCTACTATCTTTCATTTTCTTTTTCGTACTCCCGTTATGGGAAGAGAGCCAATGAATTCAGTCTATGATGAAGGGAAATGTTTTCATAGATAAACTCTACTTCTTGCAAAAAACACATTATTCAAGATTCTTCTGTAAGACAAAAAGACAAGATGTCCTGGAATCTTCAGGATACTTTGACAAAAATACCACAGACTGCCCGGCTTACCAGCATATATTCATTCCTCACGGTTCTGAAATCTAGGAAGCCCAAGGTCAAGGCAATGACACTTCTGAGATCTGGGGAGCGTCCACTTTCTTGATGTCATCAACAGCTGTCATCAACCCTGACAAACTGAAATGAGATCCAGAGAGCTCTCTGGAGTCTTTTGTAAGGGAATAAATCCCATCCATTAAGGACTCACTTTCATGGCTTAATGACCTCCCTAAGGTGCTACCTACTAGTATCATCACTGAGGGTGACAACTGTGACGTGTGGATTTTGTGGAAACACCATTACTCAGTCCATAACATTCCATCCCTGTCCTCCCCAAATCTATGTCCTTGTGTCATACAAAATACATTCATTCTATGAGAACATCCCTAAAGTTTTAATTCATTCAGGTCAAATCAATCTATATCCCAAAGATTCATCTAAATTTTATGTAAACCAGATATTGGTGAGACTCAGGATGAGATTCTTCCTGAAGGCAGATTTATCTCTGGTTGTGAATCGGTGAAACCAAACAAAAGTGATATGATTCCAAAATTCAATGGCAGGACAAGTACATATGACAAATGTCACTACTCTGTAAAGGAGAAATAGGAAATAGGAAAAGAAGTAAACATAGTTCAAAACCTAGAAGGACAAAGATTAAATGCTCAAAAGTAATTTTCTTGGACTATATATTCTACCATCCAGGCCCAATAGGACAGCAGGGCCATCACCAGGGATTAGTAGGAAGACAGTATAGTGGCTCTCTGCTGGGGCCCATCTCCATGTACATTTTTTTTGTGCCTAATCTTAGCAGTTTTGCTGAGTTGAGTTCCAGCATCAAGCCTCTCCTGTTATGGATTTGTCGCCCTGAAACTCTAAGTGACCTTGTCCTTTGGCACCTAGTTGATGGCCACCTGACCTCTTGCCCCATCCACTCTGGGCCTTCAATCTGAAGGACTCCTCTTTTGGCCTCTCAATCACCCATGTAGTCATTATTCCATTGTCATAAAAACTAGAACCTGGCTTCTGTAGAGATGGCCAATCCATTATAATCTCCCTATCAAACAGCATGTCCCAAGTATTTTCATTATTTGCAATGTGTTTAGGCTGAGAAATTCCCCCAAATCATTAAATTCTGCTTTTATTTTGCTAAAACAAAGCAAAATGATGATTTTTTTTAAGGTGATTACTTCATGGATTGTACAATCAGCACTCACATATCCCCAGGATGTATGGCAAAATTATTCTACTCTTTCTTCATTATGTAGCTCCAAACAACTCCTACACTTTATATTTTTAGAATTATCCCTCTTTTTGTGCTCTCAATTATTGTCTTAGTCTGTTGGAGTTGTTCTAACAAAACGACCATGGATTAGGTTGTCTTATACAACAAACATTTATTCTCAGTTCAGTAGACTGGAAAGTCCCCAAACCAGGTGGTAACAGACTGGGTGTCTGGTGAAGACCTGCTTCACTGATTATAGATCTTCTTACTGTACCCTCACAAGGCAGAAAAAATAAAGATTTTTCTGGGGGATGTTTCATGACCTTCTAAAGACCCCACCTCTTAATACCATTCCTGGGGTGTGGAGATCTCACATATGATTCTGTGGGGGGACACAAGCATGTGGTCCCCAACAAAAGATTTTAGCAATCAATTGTAAATTTCGGAAACATTCTTGTTTTGTAATTTTCTTTCCTAAAAGTTTCCCATTTTTGTACAGTAATCTTGAATCTCTTATTTATTTCACTCTTTCTTGTTCTATTTTATGCCATTTCCTCAATATTTCACTCCTCACCTGTATGGCTAAACATTAGGTTGATTATATCAGGTGCCATATTAGCTTTTCCTTGTAGTCTTGCAGGTATGACAACATAAGTCGTGAGTCTTTCCCAGCTGAATGGACAGTTAAATGTGGGTTTTGTTTAAGGTCGTGTCTCATGACAAGGGAGGATGGAACACAATTAGAAATGACCAAACTTGGAACATTCAGGAGAATATTTTGCAGAAGATGGGATTTTCCACAAACTCTGTAGGGCTGATTTTGCCTTTGAGTTATTTCTTCCTTCCTCCTCACTCTGTGCACACACACTGGGAAATGCTGAGTTGCCTCCAACTCTATGTTACTCTCCATTAGTGAACTTCACGCTAATCCCTCACTTGTTTTCAATTGTTATTCTCTGACCTTTGACCTGAGTATAAAAGTCAGAGCTGACAGTCAGGGGAGATAAGGAGTCCAGTGACTATCTTGATGATTTCTTGGGTCTCATGCCTACCTTTCTTGTTTGGGGGGCTATAAGATTCCTTCTTTGTTGCTCCTTTATTGGAAACAAATGACTCTACCATTGGTACTCTGGACCATGAATTTCACAGTTCTTTGTTTCTGAGAAATATAAATGTATTTGCTGTTCAGAAATTCTTCCGACTTTCCATTTTGCTAGAACATTGCTAAAAGCAATTGCTAAAACACTAAATTTTTGAGTAGTTTCATGCTATTGCATTTGGGTAGACAGATATTTATTGTATAAATATTTGTGGCAGTACATCTGTGTGTCATTGTACATATATATGTGTGTTTGTACACACATTTGTGTGTGTGTGTAAAGTATTACATCTTTTCTATATGATTTTTGCAAGGAAGAGAGATATCGATGTAGATATATTTTGCTACCTTGAACTAGAAACCTGCTAAAGTTTTCAGACCAGGGTGAATGGCGGTAGCAAATGCAAATACTTATTCTGAAAAATTTATCTCTGCACCGAAGGAGTCAGGGATTTGATGTCTAGGCCAGTAAACACCTGCAGTGAGAGAAAGCATTTCATGCGATAAGTTCCATTTGGAAGGAAGAGTGTTGCATTTGCATGAATTTGTTCTCAGACTCTTAAGATTGACCTTTTCCAAGGATCACGTGGACTTGTCTTAATATATCCACTCTTTCCTAATCCATTCCTTTATTCTTCCAATACTTAAGTCGAAGGAGTCTTAGATAGAAAACTGACGAATCCATGCATTGCAATGAGGAAGGTACTTCATGAAGTCAAGGTCATCTCTAATGTAACGCTTCAAATCATAGTGAAGTAAGAGGAAAGCTGCACAGAAAGGAATAAAAAGCCACCTTTAATAATGTGTAAACCAGAGGAGTTGTTTGGTGAAGGAGTTGTTAAGTCAGGGTTGCTGTGTTTATTACTTTTAGATGGACTAATTTTATTTTAGGAATTAAACCTAATAATTGTGCTTTGCTTTATTTGAGTTTACCTTATTTGTAATGATTTCCCAGGCACTTGAGAGTGTAGATTTCATTAAGTCCAATGACAGCATTTGTTTTAGTATAGTAATACACAAGAGTCTCCCCGCACAGTTAAGTTGCTTATATTTAAATATGATCATGTGAAGAAATCATAATTGTTATTGCCCATAAAGGCATGTGAAAATGGTAAAACAGAAGTAGTACTTATCGATCCTTTATAAGTAAAGGCATAATACATTACTTTAGAGGCTCAAGTAGACCAATATCTAATACAAGATTATTATACATTGAATTCCTACCTCACTGAGTGTACTTTAAGTGCCTTCTTTCTGAAAAATATCTACAAAAAGCATCTTAAATCTATGCCTTTTGAGAGCTATTGATATTACAGTATCTGAAAGATAATGCTTAAAACACTGAAATTTCCAGAATCTCAATTCCGAACATGTATTTAAGGCTATTGTTCTTACTTTCCTTCTTCTTTTTGATAGAAATGAGTTTTTAAGTCAATAGTTGGACAGTTTTAGGACTTTCAGAAGACAGAGAAAATGAAAACAAAAGAGTGAAGAACTACTTTCCTGAGCAGTAGATGGTCTATGATGTTTAAATTTCCAGTAGAATTCTTGCTTTCTTTGATGGGATTGCTTTTGGCAGCTCCCAGAGCCTTGGACATTTTTCTAAGGCATCAACAGAATAGGATGGGTGTCTTAAAATATAAGATTACAATATAAATGATTGTATTATCCTAACCTTTGTCCAAATAGAGTTGCCCATTTTGTATTTTCGACAGTGAATTTTTCTTGCCCTTCTGAAACACCAGAGTTTTTATTTTATTTTGTGGATGACTGGACATTGTCACATGACCTAGCTTCAGAAAGTGATCATTAGTAATCTCAGTGAAAAGTGGAGCACCAAGATTTGCAATCCCCCCAATGACCTCTAGCCCCCAATGACCTCTTGCCTCCCATCAGGACCAGAAGAAGAGAGGCAAAGACAAGACCACCTTTAAAAGTCTGTGATGTTGCTGGGTATGGTCACGCATGCCTGTCATCCCAGCGGCTCAGGAGGCTGAGGCAGGAGGATCACCAGTTCAAAGCCAGCCTCAGCAACAGTGAGGCATGAAGCAACTCCATGAGACCCTGTCTCTAAATAAAATACAAAATAGGGCTGGGGATGTGGCTCAGTGGTTGAGTGTCCTTGAGTTCAATCCCTGGTACCATAAAAAAAAAAAAATGACCTGTGATGTCTTGAGGTGGCACTCATCTGAAATATTTTCCTTCCCAAAGATGGTATTCATTCTAATATTTGAAAACTCCCTTCCTGTTTTGTAATTTTAAGTTAAAATTTGGGTCACAAGTTGTAGTGGTCTGTAGTGTAACTTCTGGCTTTGAGTAAAATAATTTCCCAGATGAAGTTACTGGAAGCAGACCAGGTACCCCCACCCCAAAGATCCCCCATCATAATTAGGCTTCTCCTCTTATCACAAAGATTATTACAGAGTATCATCAGGGTTTTTCATATAGAAAAGATGTAAAAAGATGAAGTTCTGCAGAAAGCTTAATGGGGTTTGAAGCTTTCTCTCCCTTGTAAATGTCAGGTTTGCAGACATAACATGTAGAACCTTTGTCTAGCCGAAGACTACGGGACAAAAAGTAACTGTTTAGTTTCCACCCACGGACACGTAACCAACCATCCCACTGAATATAAATCTAAAAGGATTTCCAGACTGGGGATCCAGAGACTTTTAGGCATTGGCGCCTCTGGACTGCTGCAGCTAAAATAAACGTGCTTCCTGAAAATTCCTTGGGTGTCCAGCCTCATCTGTCCTATGTCATTACATCCCAGCTTCCTTTTCTAAGAGTGGGACATCAGGCAGCCTGATGAAGGACAAGATTTGGCCAACTCTGGGGTCACTGCATTGGCAAGGGCTGCTTTAGAGGGATCTGGTGTAAAATGGATGGTCAGGGCCATGCACTGGGCTCCAACCATATTCCACTTCACCTCATCTCTACTAACTACGGTTCCAGTCCTGGAATCGTGACAAGCTTCCCGTGTGTACAACTGCAGTGCCTCTGCTTGGTGGCACTGCACATTTCTTATTCTTTTTGTTCGTTCTGATCCCAGGAGGAATC